ATCTCACATTGCTTCTGTTTTGGCTTCCATCTTTTTATAGCATCATCTTGGGAATTTACATAGACCATTCCTTTTGTTAAAATGTGTTAGAAAGTTTATATATATATTTGCTTGATGCAAGAAAGTTCATTCAATCCTCAGTGGCCTTTTAAGCATTCTGCTTTTATTTAGATCCACTATTCTAGTTCTGGCTCTTCTACTTTGTCTTGGAATATTATCTTTTCACATTTATAAAGTACAAATCTGATCTCACTGTACTGTTATTTGGAATCTATAAGATAAAATGTATCAAAGCACTTTCTATATTACCTATCAGGATTGCTCAGAGTGAGTCTTGTGCCTATAGAAGACGAATAGAGTACATAACTGAGTTTGAGAGGTACTAAATTAAACAAAATTAAATAAATGTCTTTATCTATGAATGGGTACTATAAATTTCCAGATGGGTACTATCAGATGCCATATTTATAAAATATCAGATGAAGAAATATTTTTACAGCATGATAACTATTACAATGATCTAATTTAATCCTTACTACCAACCAATTAGGTTGGTCTTACTATTAGATAAACTCATTTACAAAATGTTATGTGATAGAACTGAACCCAGGTTTATCAGTATCAAGAGCATGCTTTTCTTAAGCAGGTACTTAAAATACTTATGACTTAGAAAAACTTTTACAGAAGTATGGCATGCATAGAGGAAAGTTCATATTTTAGAAGTTTACAGTTAAATGAATTTTCACAAACTGATTACACCTATGTACTTATCACTTAGATCAAGAAATAAGATCCAGAAGGCCGTCACGTCCCATTCCATCACGTCCCATATGGATAGTAATCCACCCAGTTCGAAGGCAAACACTTCTGATATCTAACACACAGATTAGTTGTATGTAGTTCTTAAACTTAAATAAATGAAACTTGATAGTAGATACAATTTTGTGTCTGGCTTCTTTCACTTAACATAATAGACAGTCATACCTATTGTTGCATGTGAAAAGTAGTTACTGTTATATGTGTTCCAATGTCTGAATATACTCATTTCTTTTTCTATTCTACTATTGATGAACAATTAGGATTTGGCCAATCTGTGGCTACTGAGAGTAATAATAATATTATCATTTTTTCTCTGTCCTTCTCTTATTTCCTTCCTTCTTTTCCTTTTTTTTGAAACAGGGTCCTACTATGTTGCCCAAACTAGATGTAAACTCCTGTGCTCAAGCCTCTCATCCCCACTTTCTCGAATGGCTGGGAGTACAGGTGCATGCCACTGTGCCTAGCCTATTACCATTCTTGTATATATCATCTAAAACAATATATACACATTTTTCTGGATGTATATAAATACATCAGTGAACGAAAACCTACAATGGTATCCACCTTTCTTTGGCCAAGAGTACATTCATGCAATTGCCTTTGTTGCAGAAAAATTGTGTATTTCCAATTTCTTCCTTCAAACCTAATAACTTATTCAAATACAGAAAAAATTATATTTTTTGTAAAATATAAGGGAGTGAAGTATTTGTGATAAAATTAATATTTTAAAATATCTTGGCTAGAAAGGAAATAAAACAAACAGTTCTATTAAAAGGTGGGCAAAAGACATGAGTAGATATTTCTCAAAACAAGACATATGAGCAGAAAACAGATACATGAAAAAATGCTCAGCCTCATTAATCATCAAAAAAATACAAACTAAAACAACACTGAGATACCACGTAACTCCAGTCAGGATTTCCGTCAACAATTATTCAAAAAACAACGGGTGCGAGAGAGGATGTGGGGAACAGTTCTACACTGTTGGTGGGAGTGTAAACTAATACAACCTCTGTGGACAACAGTCTGGTGATTCCTAAAAGATCTAAAAATCGACCTTCCATACAACCCAGCAATCCCCCTTCTGGGAATATACCTGGAGGAACTCAAATCATTAAGATATCTACACACACATGTATATTATAGCACTATTCACAATAGCACAAATATGGAACCAACCATTGTACCCATCAAAATTAGACTGGATTAAAAAAAATGTGGTACATACATACACTGGAATATTACACAACCATAAAATAGGACAAAATTATGGACTTTGCAGCAACTTGGATGAATTTAGGGTCTACCATATTCAGTGATCTATCACAGAAACAAAGAACTTAGTACCATATGTTCTGACTTACAAGCAGACCCTGAACCATTTATCATAACACTATAAGAAAGGGTTTGGCAGTAGCAGGATGCTGCCAGGGGAAGGAAGGAGGGGCACATAACATCAAGGGTACCTGGTTTCAAATCAGGCAAAGTGGGGACCAAAGGGAGGTGCAAACTTGACCTGTATAATGACCACTTATCTACCTAATCCTGAATTGTACCCCACATCTTTAAAATTAATTGATTAATTAATTAAAAAGTATATTAAAAATATCTTGGCTACATGCTAAAATTTCAACATTTCTATAATTTTTTGATTAAAGTGTTGACAAGCTGAGATAAATACACAATTAGATGCATATTTGAGAATTTTTTTTCTTTTAAAAATACAGAGCAGGGTGTGGTGGGGCATGCCTGTACTCCCAGCTACTGGAGAGGCTGAAGTGGGAGAATTGCTTAAGCCCAAGAGTTCAAGTCCAGTCTGGGCAATATAGTGAGACAAATAGATGGGGGGGGGCGGGGGAAGAGGGAAAAGAAATTATATTTTTAAATGTCTTCCTCTATGCTATTAAAATGCCTTTTCTCATAAGCTATGCTGATCTACTGTAACAAAACAGTATTATAAAAATGTTAAACAAGATACAAAATTTTCTAAATCAGTAAAGAGAACTCTCTAATCTGTACCTTAAAAAGAAATGCTTCTGTTACATTAAGATTGCTAATTGCTTCATGCTGAATTAACAGTGACATGTTTATCCTATTATTATTCTGACCAGTGAGAAAAAATTTTAAAGGAGAATTCAGATAATCCAACTTAGGAAACAAAAATCTCCTAGCATGAGCCCATTATAATAATTTAGTGAAATATTCGGCAATCAGTTACAGTATAGATGCAAGTTGTCCAAATAAAAAACTGCTTAAGAGAAATTCCCTATGTTTAAGAATTTGACTAATATGGGATATAAAAAACATTACAATTATTATACTGAAAGAAAGTATATGCTGCCTAAATGCAATAACTATATGTTAATCATGCAAAGGTGGGAGGAGAATTTCCAATGTAATTAAGAAGGGATGAATCTCAGAGGGATGACAGATTTGGTGAGATCGGAAGATGGATATAATTTAATGGAAGCAGTAAAATAAAGCATATTTAGAATATAAGAAACAGTACAAAGAGGCTAACAATGAGTTTCTTTGCAAAGCAATAGAAGTATAAGGTTGAAAGGAAAATTACAATGAGCAGGGACAGGGAGTCATTTGTGATTTCCAACTTCTCAGGCAACTCAGCTCCACACATATCAATATTACAGCTATAATCAAGGTATGCTTTAGGAATACTCATCTAGTGGCCTAAAATATTCATCTATGTAGCCTAGTGCCTGTCATGTATTCAGTAATCAATAGATTCAGTAATCACAATAGCATCTGTTGTGGTTATTGCTATTGTTGTCAGTACAAGCACCTTTAGAACTCACTCCAGTATCACATGTAAGGGTTAGAGCCTCATGAATTAGAAAAGAGCCAAATGAAATGCAAAGAAGAGAAAGATTACAACAATAAGTTAACACATTTCAGAAGAATGCAGATCAATTTTCCATATACTTTAGCAAACCATGAACAATAAGAAAAAGCAAAGCCTCAATATGTTTTTTACCCACAAGTACACTTTTAGAAGAATATTACAAGGCAGTAAATTTAAAAATTTAGATTTTTCTAAATTTACAACATTAAGTATCATTAACTCAACAGTGATCAAATCTTTGCATCAGGGCCTTCTCTATATAAAAGAAATGTATCAGTGACAAAAACAGCTAAACTTCATGCCGTCAGGAACTTATATATTACTAGAGTCATGGCTAAAGGCAGATGGACAAAAATAACACAATAAATAAATTATATAGCATGTTATAAGATGATAAAAGTTATGGAGAGAAACAAAACAAGGAAGGGAGAGAGAGAGACTATAGGTATTGCGGAGGAGAGTGACTGGGCAGTCTGGAAACTTCAGTAGGGATAACTACTGAAATATTTATGTGAAATAAAATAATGTTGAGCACTTGTTTCAAAAGACTCCAACAGCAGGTAAAATGAATAGGATGGGAGAATAGATGAAACAAAATTGATTCTGAGCTGACAACAGATAAAGTTTAGTTATGGATACAAGTCATTAGAATGTCTCAAAATCTGTGTCTTTTGCAAAAGAAAAAGTGAGAGGAAAAAAACACAATTCCAAACTGCTATTAATGTTCAACACCCGTATAACGAAGACTGAACGAGAGCATTTTGCTATGTTGATCTATCACAATATATCCCACCCACGAAAAGGAAAGGGAGGGCAACAAACTCAGTTATGTGAGCTCAGTGGCAGTTACTAATATGAACTCTGCTACTAATTTAACACATCAGTTTCACTTTTATTTTGTGGCAGAGTTTCTAACAGTCTAATACAATGACTGCCAGGGTTCTTCACTAAGTTTAGTTAAGCCCTTTTGAAAAAAATTAAATTTACCACTGTTGGGGCACTGGCTACAAACTTACAAACTTTTTCCATTTCTCTTTGTAGTGTTAGATATTATTGCCATAGCAGGATATAAAATTGAAAAAAATTTATTCATGTAAATTTGACGTTGTAGGAATTGATTTTTTAAAATCAACACTAAAACAGTCCTTATTCTAAAAAAAAAGTGATTTATTATATGTATATATGCACACACATGCCTATGTGACAAAGATAGTAAATGAGAAGATAAATAATATATATTCTTTTTTACTAAACATAATTCTGATTCCAATACTAAGCTGGATTAAACTTCAGAATACTGATGCTTAGAAAATGTACTTACCACTTGCCCATTGTGTGGGTTCTTATGAGCATATGGAGGTCCACGAATATGATTCCACATCTGGCCAGAAGTCATAGCAAAGACTATACACTAAAAAATACAGCACAATGTTTCAATAGGTAAACCAGAGAATACCAGAATATTGTCTTTAAAAATCAATGGTCATCATGAAACTACCTTTATAAAACCATGTATCAGCTCACCCATTAAAAGAAAAATTTTCATTTACCAATTTTGGGACCTTGGGTAAGTTGCTTTCTCTCCCTGCATTTCAGATTCCCTGTCTGTAAAACTGGGGTACCAACTCTGCTAAAGAGATTATGTTAATGATTAAATTGGATAACATGTAAAACATCTGGTATGGTGACAGGCAATCTGATATTATGTGCTCACCTGCACCAGTCAAAAGCACAGATGAGACGCTTGATGTTCTAGTGATGTTTTAAAAGATATGATAATCATCTTCTATATCCTCTAAACTTCAATCTTAGTTTCGAATACCATAGCCTCCATTTTTGGATTGTAGTACTTAGATCCCATAAGTACCTAAATGCTTTCAGCAAAGTGTATGGTATAGTAAATTGAGATGATGTTTAGAGATGGAAGAAATCACAAAAAGACTTAGCCAGGAAAAACTCACAGAGATTATGTTTACACCCGCTGAATCTATCAGAAAAAGCTGTATTTGGAAAACAAATCTTGAAGCTCCAATACATTACAGGGAGGGTAGGAGAGAGTGTGTATATAAACCAAAAGTCACAATTAAATCACTATAACCTATGTGTAGGTATTATTTGTTTAAATTATATAATATTTTTAAATTAATGAGCTGATACACTTTTAAACTTAAATGTATTCTTTACATTAAAACAGTACCCAGCACTTCCTACTGTCCAATAACTTGCCAAAACAATCTTTACTACAACTGCCAGGTTCTGGTAGATATATATGTCAACAAAGATTAAAGGCAAGAGAAAGCAATACTTGTGTGGGGTCTAAACATTTTAGGTTTGCACAATTTTTAAAGGAGAAAAAAATGATACAGAAGGGAAAAAGTGGGGAAGATGTGAAGGATAGCTACGTCAAGGGAATACATTTAGATCCTGTTCTATAACTGCTTAGGAGCCAAGTGTTTCAACAGAAAATGATACGGTATAACGGCTTTGGAGAGGTTAACCTGAATCCTCTTCTCACTTTCCTGAGAATAACCCTGAAACCAACTCAGACTTCTTAAAGTCAGATTTAACTTATACAGACTTAGGCTAGATTGAGATAATTTTCTGAGAGTCAGGATTTTACAGAATATTTGTGCTTAAACAAAATGCTAGAATATTATACCCAAGATGAAATGCAAGGTGTAACTGCACGGGCCCAGGAGTTCGAATCTAGCCTGGAGAACATAGCAAATCCCTATCTCTAATAAATAAATGAATAAATAGATATCTAGCAAAATATATAACTAGTGAATAAAAGCATTTGTAGTATAAACAAGTAACTTTAATGTTTTTAATAAATGCTCAATAATACTAGAGTTCTATCTTTTTGGAACCTAACCCATATAGTAACTAAACTAGCAACTGAAATTACTGTATATATTTTTTATTTTGCTTTTACATGTATGCCCATTTCTTCTCTGCCTCCTTTTACTGATTCTATTGATATTTCTATTTTCAATTATGGTTGACAAAAGCACACGGTCACGTTTGTATTTTAGAAGGATGGTACTAGTCACAGTATGGAGAATAAATTGGAGAAACCAGTTTGGAGGCCGATATATAAATACTCATGAGAGACTACAATGGCCTAGTTCATGGCAGTGGTAAGAACTGACAGAAGTAGACATATAGGACAAATATTTAAGAGATCGAGTCAGTAGGCTTCGGTGATTGATGTGACAGAAATTAAGAGCCAAAACTAACTTTTGGTTTCTGACTTGAGTGGCAGGGTAATTTGTGGTATCACCCAATGAAATACAGAGTAAGCAGAAACATGGGAGGATAAGTGAGAAGCCAGTAACAAAGATTTGAAACTCAGTTTTGAAAGAGTTAACTTTACTATGCTTTCAAAACATTCATCTAAAAAAACTGTGGATTTCCAACAGATACTGGCATATATTATCTAATGAGAGAAGTCTAGGGAAGGAAAAGCTAGAGATTTGCAAATTGCCAGCATGTAATTGGTTACTGTAATCATGGGAACTGATGAAATAGTTATAGAACAGTAGGTAGTGTAAGAAGAAAGCCTAGGAAGATATTCCACATAAATTGGTTCATGAACAGCTGCACATGAAAGTGGGACATGAAAATCATAGAAAGAAAATGAAGAAAGCAGGTATGTTGTAACAGAAGAAAAGAATAGAATTTTGAAAAAGGATGTATTGTTCAACAATTGTCAAATAAAAAACAATCTAAAAAGTTTCACTTTTCTTTTTTGGGGGAAGGGACTATTCATTTGGGATACTAAAATATTTAACAGACTAAAATATTTCAAAAAACAGTAGTAGCTACCCAAGAACTTTCAATGTTCTTAAGAATCAGCCACCAGTATATTTAAGGTACTTTGCCTAGTAGTTTATTATAGTAGTTGACAATAGAAGCTCTTAAATTATAATACTTGAACTTCAGGCCTATCTTTAGCAACTGTGCAAATCTGGGCATGTTCATTGCTCTGGGCCTCAGATTCCTATCTATAATATCAGGATAAAACTGGTATTAATCTTTGGAAACTGGAGATTTTAAGTAAGTTAGTCCAGGAAGCACACTTAAAACTGTGCACAATACACAGTGTAAGTTCAATAAATACTGTTATTACAAAGCCCCCCACAATTTGCTCCCACATTCCTAAACAGCACCATGTTCAAATACTCCTTAACTGGCACTGTATGCTCGGTTCAGGCTACTCTTCTTGCTTACCCTGCATCTGTGGTGGTAATGATGACATTTACATCTTGTTAACGCAGAGTTAACCCATTCAACCCCTCTACACTACCCAGGGGTAACCCATTTCATGTATAGTTCTCCATGAAACTCTTTAGTTTATTTTATTCATCTGGCAATTATTTACTGAGCACTCTCTAAACACCAGATACTGTACTACAGTAGTCCCCAACCTTTTTTGGCATCAGGGACCAGTTTCATGGAAGACATTTTGTCCCACAGACCAGGAAGTGGGGAGTGGTCTAAAGATGAGTCAAGCACACAACATTTATTATTCACTTTATTTCCATTATTGTTACATTATAATATATATTGAAATAATTATAAAATTCGCTATTAAAAAAGAAAGGTACAGACAGAAAAATAAAAATAATAAGGGTATACACGTGGACTAAAATAAGTGTTGGACTCTGTCACTTATTTTATTTGATATGATTCGGCAAGCAATTGATTTATTATGGCATCTGGGCAGTCAAACCTCGCTGTTAATGTTAATTTGTATTTGCAGCCACTCCCCAGTACTAGCATGACCACCCTTAGCTCTACTTCAGGCCTTAGATTTCTCATAAGAAGCACACGACCTAGATCCTTTGCATACGCCATTCACAATAGGGTTTGCGTTCCTATAAGCATCGAATGCTGCCTCTGATCTGACAGGAGGCGGACCTCAGGCAATAATGTGAGCTATGGGGAGCAGCTGCAAATACAGATGAAGTTTCTCTCACTCATCCACTGCCACAGGCCACAGACCAGTACCAGGGATTGGAGTCGCCTGCTCTACTAAATACTAGGGACATAACAATGAATAAGATAAAGATGGTCTCTATCCTCAGCTAGAAATACTGAATAAATGATATGTAGTCTGAATCATAACAAACAACTAGGTATTTCTCATTTCTTCATTCAAAATTTATTTACTGAGAGTCTAGTATATGCTCAAGAAATGATTTAGATGCCAGGGATAAAGCAATGAACAAAAGCACAGGGAGAAAAACTGTCCTTATAGAGGCTTACAGTCTACAGGGAGGAAAAGAGATGACAAAAAACTAAATTATGTGATAGGCAATGGTAAATGTCTTGAAGAAAAGCAAAGCAGAGAAGGTAGAAAAGAAGTCATGGGACAGGAGGTTACAATTTTAGTTAAAAGGCCTCAAGAGAGGCTGCACTAGAAAAGTCATTTCGGCAGAGATCTGGAGGAAAACAAGCCATGTAAATATCTGGGGAAAGAGTATGCCAAGCAGAGGGAACAGCCAGTGCAAAAGGCCCTATTGAAGGAGAATGCCTAGCATGTTCTAGAAAGACTAAATAAGCCAGTATGGCTGAAAGGCAGTATATGAGGAGAGGAAACATAGTAAGATTGGTGAAGTAATGTAGGGACAGGTCTCAGAGTCACATGCGTTTCATTTTTGAAAACTGACTGTGGGGTGGGCAAAGGCGGAAACTAGTATAAAGTCATAAGCTTCTGAAATATGGGGATTAAGAAATAATTCGAGTATAAACAAAAGCAGTAGGTAAGAAATAGTTGGAATCTGGACACTCTGTGGAGAAAGGGCCAGCAGATTTTTCTAAATGATTAGATGTGCAATGTAACAAAAAAGCAGTAAAAACTACATGGATTTTGACCCAAACAACCAATAAAATAAAATAAAGTTGCCATTAACTGAGAAGCCAAGGACTGCAAGAATTAGGTTTGGGAAATTAGATTAGTAGTTTGTCCTCTACCTATCTTCCAGGTAGTTAGATTTATTAGCCTAGAGTGTAGGGAGAAGCTCTGGCACCAGTATGAAATTTTGTAGTCAATAATAACTAGACAGTTTTTAGAGACTTAAAACTGAATGATACCACTAAGGCAGTAAATGTAGAAAAAGAAGAGAAGCTGACCAAGAACTGAACCCTCTCATCACTCAAAAATAAGAGGTATAATAGATAAAAGTGAATTAGTAAAGAAGGTTAAGGAGCAGCAAGATAATCAAAAGAGAAGTCAGATAATTACAACAAAAATCACAAGAATGTGGCATATTGGAAGACAAATGAAGAAAATGATTCAAGATGAAGAGATTAGTAGTGAAAAACAGATGAGAGAGCAACAATATGAAGATCTACAACTAAAAATTGAATTTAGTTCCCTAAAAAATATTTGTGTCAGCTGGGTGT